GGGAGTGTCTCCAGTAAACATCACAAGGTCTCCGCATATCACTATACCACCTTCAGGATGACAGTTCATCCTCAACCTTCTTGGATGCATCTACATGTGTAAAGGAAGAATAATAACGATGAAACAATAAAGAAAAAGAACACAGGAAAGGAAAAATAAATAGGAGAGATTACAACAGTGCAGCAGAGAAATAATACAAACGTAACAACAACAAGAGAAAATAGTCCCACACAAAAAACCATGTTTACAGTACCAATCATCAGTACAACTCCGCAGAAAAAAGAGAGAATGCACACAACCCACTGTACTGCAGAGGACCCCCAACCTGAAATCAAAGAAGCAAAAAAAAATTAAAAAAACAGAATCAGCTGCCACAGCACATACAGTACTACAAAAGTTCATCCTTCCATAGTCATGTATAGGAAATTATCAATATCTATATTTATATATATATGTATATATGTATATGTATGCATATTTGTTTTTACTTTTCCTCTCTGGACAAAACAATGCAAACAAACGCAAATCAAACAAAAAGAAATTAACAGGTAGCCCATGTTCTACAGTAAACGGCCAAATACAATTACTATCAATGTAAAACGTTGTACACTTAATTATGAATATATGTATAAAAGTGTATCTGTTATATATATTTTTTCTCTCATGGCACAAGACAAGCTGTCATTGGTGGAAAGAAAAGCACACAACAGCCCGAAACCACACACACACACACACAAAGAAACAGCAATAATAATTATAGGACAAACACAGAGAGTAAAAACACACAAAACACATTAACATTAAGAAACAAAAAAAGAAGATAATCCCAACAGGTAGAAGATTAGTTAGACTGTAGGGATACAAAAAAGAAAAGAAAACAAAGGATGACCTGAGTCACACCACCATTAATCATTCAACACACAAGAATACAGGCCAGTGTAACCACAATCAGTAGTGGTACACGCACCCACACAGAACTGCTGATACTGCTGCTGCTATCTGCATCACCCTTCTTGTTGTTTGTGAGTTCAGGAGGAAGTGTTGTTGTTGTTGTTGTGGTGGTGGTGGTAGTTGATTCCTCATTAGCTGGTTTATGTGTTGACCCACTCCCTTCAGGTGCAGTGCCACTCTCAGCGTTTTTATTATCAGATTCATTAT